GTCCCATGTATCCTCTATTAGTTTCAGCAACTCACTTGGTGGACCACAAGCTTTTCTACTTGTAGCATTATTTTTAGGGTATTCTGCCTCGCATTTCATAATTTCTGGGCCATCAATACAGTTTTGGCAGAAGTCGGCAATATTATTCTGTCATCTTAAAACAACTCTGATATATACAGCTGCCGTTTTTGTCTTATTTTTTGCTCATTTACAATAATGTTGTTATTAATGTCAACGAGTACAGAGGGAACTCGTCTTATAAATATGTTACTCATTTCTTTTAGTATTTTATGCATATTAAATAAGTAGTGTTTAGATATTACATCCTCCATTTCGTCGCACCTTTCTCTTATCCATTTTTCTTTGGCTAATTTGATCTCCTTTTTTAGTCTTTTCTGCAGATGTCTATATTCTGTTTGTTTAGATTTTATTCCATTAATTTCCAGATGTCGTGTGTCATCCATTTATTTTTCTTGATTAAGTTTTTTGTATAATAATTGTTTGTAGAGATTTCGTTAACTTGGTTTTTAAATTCACTCCATAGTTGTTCTGGATCTTCTAGTTGTTCTCCGATGTTTTTTATTCTATTGTTAAATTCTTTTTCAATGTAATGTTTTATGTTTATATCGTCAAAGTTAAGTACTTTGGTTTTTGTCACTAACGAACTAGACATTTTATTAAAAATACTATGTTGACCGATGAAGCAACATTTATTTTGGCAAGGGATTTTTAAAGTCCACATGCTATCAAAGATAGATATTTTCAAGGCGAGTTGCGTACAAGAATTTTCCCATTGTGACGACATTTTTTTATTGATGAAGAAGTGATTTTGAATAATGGCCACCAAGAAGTTCTGAGTGTAATCACATTAATTTTTATTTCTAGGGATTTAAAATCGTTCATTCAAACAAATGAAATGAATATTCACGAGATGAACTCTCGAAAAAAATACAAAATGGTGCAAATTTTAACAGAATTGAAGAATTTTGCTATGTATAAGCCATTACTTAGTCTATGCTAATGTCTACTACGAATTGTTCGTATTTCTATCCTAACATCATCAGAAAGGAAGATCTACCACATCTGATCGATTAAAAAAGCGTAAAACATCAAATAAAATCCAGAAAGTGGGGTTGAATTGGTCGCACACTCAGAAAAAATAATTCCAGTATTACAAAGATTGCCCTCGAGTGGAATCCCCAAGAAAGAAGAAAACGAGGTCGCCCAATACAAACTTGGAGAAGATCCATCATGGACGAAATAAGACCTGGTCTATGGATCTTGTTCCCAAACATGTATCTTCCCTGACTACATGGTTTATGATCATCTGGTTTTTAGATGTATTTTTTCCCTCTTATAGCAAGGAAAGGTAGAGCTGATTTAAAAGTTCTTTGGTCTCAAGGATTTTCTATTAGCACAATAGCATCTGTAAAACCTCAGATGGCTCAGTTTTGCCCTTTACATATATATTCCAAAAGCGAAGTGAACAGTTTTGGTGATATGGTATCATCGTGACGCACTTCACTTTATATCGAGAATTTTTGAGTTTGACGATCACCTACTCTAACATTAACTTTTGCTTTTTGGTATATGTGATTAAGTATATTTATATACCGATAGTCAATTAGGCATTCTGTCAAGGTTTCCATTTTTTGTTGATTTGGGGAGTCAAAGGCCTTTTCATAATCCACAAATGTTCTGTGTTTATTATGTTCTGTGTTTATTATATTCAGTATATTTTGTATAAGATTTTTTATCACCAATAGGTGATAAAAATAGGTTTTTGTGAGCGTAAGAGTTTCTGCTCCGTATGCCATAATTGGAAGAACGCATTGGTCAAATGTCTTCCGTTTTATAGCTATCGAGATATTGATCTTAAAGATATATCTCTTACTGAACCATTATCCTTGTATATTCTGATTTCATGACCGATATGTACTTTTTTGTCAATTCTACTATTTGATTTTGGATGGTGTTTTCGCTGGGAACCAAATTTATCATAAATTTGATATTACTAATGTTCATTTTTAGACCTATTGGTGAAGATAAGTTTTCTAAGCAGTTGTCGCGCTTCACGCAGACTTTCGATAAGAAGTACTATATCGTCGGCAAAACACAGATGATTGAGTATTTTCCCGTCTATTTTTATTATTCTATTTTCCTACTTTAGCATTTTAAAGAAGTATTTAAGGACGATTATAAATAATTTAGGTGAGAGAAATTATCAATCTATAGTTTAATTTTATTAAGTAAACTTAGGACTTAATTTCTGCGTTATGTCACTGAGTTTGTGTTACTGTTTCCTGTATCCAAATTCAAAACATAGCAATATCGTGAAATGCAGTACCCATAGTTTGTTGTCTTAAGTTAAATTTTTTATAATTCTGATTTCAATTGTCCAATTGCGTATTTCTGGAAAACAGTGGAAACTGTCGTTGCTATACAATTCAGTGCTGTAATTATTATATGTATGTTTTCAACACATTTTATTTTTATTGATGACTTACTTGTCACTGGTTTCTGTACACTTTACACTTGTACTTGTAAAACAATAAAACTTATTTCTTTTATAATTAAATATACCTATTAATAGTGATATTATTATTAACCTGCTTAAACAATTGTCGTATTAAAACAATAATACCAGTAAAAATAATATTTAAGCCATATTTTCTAATCTAAAACAGTAAAAACTTTCGTCAAAAAGTTTCAAATCAATTTCATTGTCAGAAATCATTAAGTTGTGCCCTCTATTAGTAAATGTAAATAAATAAAATAATCCTCCGTGTCCATAGTTATGCGTTTGAGCCGATTTTCATAACAGTATATAAATAGTGGAATAATTATCAAAAAATGAAGAAAAACTTTGCCTCAGCAACATTTTATGTAGGCATATTTAATCTAACGTACTATGTCAACTTTACTATGAGTTTTTTCTAAAGATCTAGAAAAACACAAATAAAAGCTATATATAACATAAACCCATTAGTCGATCGTGGAGATGGTTTAATATTAAAGTTTCCGTGTTCTACACCCCTGTTTACGTTACGTTAGGTATATCGCGTAGCAATTACGGCGACAATCTCAGTGATCAATAGACGAAATCATCGCCCATCGCGTGATCAGCCGACTCAAACCTCAAAACCTAAACAGCACTAACTACACTTGCCGACCCTTGTGTTCTTACCCATCCTGTCCCTATCCCCGCACATCAATTTATTCATTTGGTCGTTGGTTTGTTCATTAGATGGACTTTTATCCAATGATTCACTTTTCCTACATGGTGGACAAAATGCGTGGTCATTAAATATGAAACATGCAAAGAATCGAAGACTACTTAGCAAAATAAATCTAACGATAGTCTTTCATAGATATTTAATAATTATTTAGACGTCATTATATTCGTAAATACACATTGAGTGCTTGAGGATAGAGAAAAAAGGATAATAATAAAAATAGTATGTCACAAAAAAATTGGTATTCTTTATTTTATTTAAAGAAGAATAAAACAATTATCAAATTTTGCTATTATCTCATTAACCAGCGTAAATGAATACAATAAAAATTTACACAAAAAGAATATTCTTCTTGAAGACTTAAATTTTTTTTTTACTAGAGACTATTTTTTTTTACCTAAAAAGAACCTAAAAACATTTTGTTTACCAGGATGTCTTGAAAATTTATTTAAACGGTCTATTTATTTATTTTTATTTTTTACTTTGGCTGAGAAGAAGAAATATGACAAAATCCACGCCTTTGCATCTGATAAAAATACTAAAACTATGCAGGGATTTTTCTCGATGCAAAACATTTTCCCTGTATATTTCTTCTTCTTAATCTATGTCCTATATTCTAACTTACTTCTTTTACTTTTCGTAAAGATTCAATTTGCTGGGAAGCCTGTTCTTGTCTCAAAACCATATCTTTCTCCAGCAGCTCCCTCATTCCACAACCTACGCGGAATCGGGGCGAATCGTAAGGCACGGCGACTTATGCAGGTGTTCAGACAAGTTGGGGCGGAATCCGCAACGGTCGCGGCAGATCAGCGTTTTTACGAAACGCTGCATGCACAGTTTTTTTCCGCTGCAGTTATAGTTTCGCGTGAATTAAAATGGTTGTTACAGAAAAACTAATTGAAATTATGAAACAATATCTTACACTTTATGATTTAAGGGACGAAGATTATAAAAGTATAAGAAAAAAATTTCATTGGAGTTTCAAAAAAATTGGAGTTTCAACAAGAATAAGAAGCAGCTGGCTTTTGCACTTCCAATTCAAATACTAGATGTTCTTCTCGGAGCAATACACAGTTAACACCAATACTTTGCCCTATATGTGTCGATACTAACAACACTGAATGTGTCCCGTACCAAGTTATTGCTTCTGGAGTTACCTGTTTAGGATCGTACTACAAACCAGGAGGTGATGATTTTATCTGATCTAAGCTCTCTTTAGCTTCATTCGCTACCGTCTACATTTAAATCGATATCACTGTCATCGCTATCGTTTAAATCTATAACTACTCTATTTATAATGCTTTGGAACAGTATCTTTCTTCTATTAATATTGTTTTGAAGCTATTTTCTTGTGGCATTTTAAATTAATTACTATTTAACTGGGAATAAGCCACAATTAAAGATAAAATTACGTTTATTGACGTTTCAATTTCCACTTCGGAAATCGTTCTCGAATCTCGCGACATAATTTAAAGAAATGTGTTGTCTTCGTATTGATAGGGAAGATTCATCTAGGATAACCTGAAAACTTGAAACAGGACTAGTTCGGTAAGCACCCAGAATTAGTCTTAAACATGTGTTTTGTATAATGTCTAGTTTTTTAAGCATATAAAAACTCGCAGTTGAATAGCATATTGCACCGTAATTCAGTTTACTGGAAATTCCAAATTCCAAATTATCTTGCAACGGATAGTAAATTTTGTTTTTATTACCTTTTTCTTTTTGTTTCAGGATGCCTCGCTGTACCTCCATCTCACATTACAGCCTTCCTGGAGAAACTCCACCTAGGTCTCCGTCTAGTCCAGCAAGCAGTCCCATCGCAGGTATCTCTTCTAGAAGCGTAAGTCCGTCGTCGCCTCGATCTCCAATAACTACATCTAGACATAGCGCCTTCTCTTTAGTGTATCCCAAAGATTTGCATAGGAATAAGCATTATTTAACTGTTAATGGTAAGTACTTGAACAAATATTTACAAAAATCATTCCATAAAGTTTCTTATAATATTTGATCTCTTAAACCCTCATCCACTATATTGGCTTCTACTATTGCTGTATGGCTTTGGTGGTTAATTGGATATTTTCTCGCACTCACTTGTAGTGCACTTAAGTTTTCCAACATGAGAGAATCAAATTTACTGCTAAGAAAGCCATATATTCAAACTTGTAAAAAAATGTTAAAACGACAATTTTATTCGGTTTTAATTATAAAATTTCAATTTCTGCTGACTTATCTCATTTTTTACCACCATTGTAAAATACCGAGTTCTTGTAAACGACGTGAAATTGTCTGCCTCGGATTCTCTTGTCCGCCTTTATGGACCTCGGCGATGTTTTTGGTAGATCAGTGGATTCAAATTTAGGCCCGCCTTTACCAATGAACTCGATAAAATCTTACGATGGATTCCACCAACATACAAAAATTATGAAAGGTTTAGAGGGGCAATAATTGCTACAGCAAAGAAACACATTCCCAGGGGCCATCGTAAGCAATACATACCAGGATGGAGTGAGGAAAGCCAAAACCTCTACGAAGAATATCTTGAAACCGGTGAAAGTGACATTGCGGACGAACTTCTCTTGAGCCTTGATGTAGCAAGAAGGAAGAAATGGACAAATGAAGTCGAATCGTTAGATTTCAAAAAGTCTAGCTGTAAAGCGTGGTCGCTCCTAAGAAAACTCGGAAGTGACAAACTGGCAACATGACAAATCCACGACTTCAACCCTAATAAAATTGCATCACATATAGTTGCCACCTCCAGAGGAGCATGTGATAAAAAGTTTACCACTACTATAAAAAGGGAGCTTAAACATCTAAAAGCTGCCTGTTCATCAGATACAGAGTACTCCGCACCGTTCACTCCAGAAGAAGTCTCAAACGCCATCAAAGACATTAAACCTAACAAAGCTCCTGGTACAGACGGTATATCTCCCGAATTCCTGATCCATTGTGGGAAATCTGCAAAGACCTGGTTGTCTAAATTCTATACAGATATACTCAAAACAGGTAACCTACCAAACCTCTTTAAACAAACAAAAATCATAGCCATCCTGAAACCTGGAAAACCAACAGACAACCCAGCGAGTTACCGCCCCATCGCTTTACTCAGTGCAGCTTACAAGCTCCTCGAAAGACTGGTTCTGAACAGAATCGGCCCAAAGCTACTTCAAAAAATACCAATTGAACAAGCAGGATTCAGGTCTCAACGAAGCACCACTGACCAAGTGCTCTCTATAACTATCTACATAGAGGCAGGTTACCAAAGAAAACTGAAGACGTCTGTGGCATTCATCGATTTATCGGCTGCCTATGACACGGTTTGGAAATATGGCCTCATCTATAAGCTCCTTAAAATAATCCCCTGCAAAGCAACCGCCCGACTCATAAATACTATGCTGAGCAGTAGAAATATCCGTGTAATCATGGGAACTACAGTGAGCAAACAGAGAACGCTTAATAATGGCCTCCCCCAGGGCTCCGTACTTGCACCGCTGCTATTTAGTATGTATATAGCTGATATGCCACCTACCAGATCTAAAAAATTTGGATATGCAGACGACTGGGCACTTGCAACTCAAAACTCCTTAATACAAAACTCCGAGGCAATCCTAACGGAAGATCTGGAACGCCTGGTTAAGTACTTTAAACAATGGAGACTTAAACCTAACCCCAAAAAAACCGAGGTTAGCTGTTTTCACCTGAACAACAAAATGGCCCACACAAAACTTAAAATATACATTGATAACCAACTGCTCACGCACAACTATAATCCCAAGTAACTCGGCGTCACCCTGGACAGAACACTCCCCTTTAAAAAACATCTTGAGAACACCGCAGCAAAGCTGAGAACCCGTAACAACATCATACAGAAGCTTTGCGGGACTACATGGGGCTCATCAGCAGGTACACTTCGGTGTTCAGCCCTTGGACTCGTATACTCCGCGCTGAATACTGCTCTCCTGTTTGGCTGAATAGCGTTCACACAAAAATCATAGATACCCAGCTCAATGTCGCCATGCGTCTCATATCTGGAACGATCAAGTCTACACATGCGGAGTGGCTTCCACTACTGAGCCATATACCTACACCTAATCTTCGTCGTCAGCATGCTCTGCTTAGAGAATTCCAAAAGCTGCTTAACAACCCGCAATTACCTATACACACATATGTCGCCGACGCTAATTCACATCGATTGCGCTCCAGAAAATCTCCGACTAGAGATGCAATAAACTTTTTAACTAGAGTTCCATCAATTTTCAAATGAACTCCCAGTGGAAGAACATGCAGAGCGACAGAGCGAACCTAATAATGAGAAACACACCATGCAACACAGAAACTCCACCAGGTTTTGACCTCCCCCGAAAATCATGGTCAACTCTTAACAGGATAAGAACGGGTCATGGAGTCTGCGCAGATTCCCTTTATAAATGGAGGATGAGAACCTCTGCTGAGTGCGACTGCGGCGCCGAGAAACAGACCATCCAGCATATGATTGCCGAATGCCCTCGGAGGAAGTATTATGGAGATCCTCTAGACTTCGCCTCTGCAACACCAGCGTCGATTGAATATATTAATACATTAGATGTTAGATTGTAACATATATGTGATAATGTTGTGTATCAAATTGCCATACGCTAAATAAATAAAATATCCACCACACTGCGAATACGCCTCTCGGTGACCGTATGGGGGACTATTATGGAACGTAAATGAGCGAAGCACGTGAAAAGTTCTTTGAACAACAATCCATTTTTATGATTTTGAATACAATTTTATCATTTTTTGTACTTCATGTTGTACGTTGTACCCATCTATAGTGATTTTGCAAAAGAGTCTGAACGTTTCGTTGAAATTATCGACTTATGATGCAATCCTTGTCAATAAACCAGATCTCAGACATACGAACGTGGATATTATAATATTTTTGCTGTTGGAACTCAGATTGATATGTAAACGACTTACGTACCTGGCAGGGTGTTGTACATGATAGAGCAGATTCCACACTAGTATCTGTTAAGACTAATCTTTCAGTTTGGGGTTTCATCTTGTCGGTTGAGAAAGATAATTGATAATTAAGAAATTTTTATATAGATTGAAACCCATTTACAGGCTTACCTAAAAGCCATCTTTTGCGCTATATAAATATATTGCATGTTCTATATTTACAAAGATTTACTAAATTGTTACCCTCTACAACCAATATATTAAAACGCCAATTCATATGCATATACACTTTTGTTTTGTTTCAGGAATGAACGCCTTGATGTACGCCAATTCACTAAATCCTCTAGTTACTAGTCCTTACCCTTCTTATATGTGGCATCCGATACCAGGGTTGTTCCTTCCTTACTCACCAGCTCACAGGCCTGAATCGTTGAGTCCTGATAGGACTACAGTGGTTGATCAGGGATTTACGGAAAAAAGTAGCAAAAAAGGTAAGTCGTTATTACCACAGCTAAACTATTTTCGTTTATTTATAAAACTTTTCACTCACAAATGAATTTGAAAATAAATCGATGTATATACTAGATAATAAACACTAGTAAAAATCAGATGCATCTACCAAAAGAGACATCGAAAACAGAACACAGCAGGGAAAAAAAAGTGGTAAACAGTCTAAACTCTCTACTTTGGTCTAAAGATATTAGACAAGAAACGAAATTGACAATCTATCGAACCTTGGTAGAGCCTATTATGACTTATGGGGCAGAGGTTTGGCAGATAACGCAGAAGGATAGAAAAGAATAGAAGTAGTAGAAATGGATTTTCTAAGGAGAGCGTGTGGTATATCCAAAAAAGATCACATCAGGAATGAAGATATTAGAAGGAGGACAAATACTGTATATTCCAGTGTAGATAGAATTGAAACGAGACAACTAGTGTGGTATGGTCACGTGAAACGAATGAATGAAGATAGATGGCCAAAGAAAGCTTTAAATTACACACCACAACAAAGAAGAAGAAGGGGAAGGCCTTCAGTTGCCTGGGAAGAAAATGTACGGCACATAATGAGAGATAGAGCCATCAGAGAAGACGAATGGATGGACAGAAAACGATGGCGGTCGAAATGCGAGAAACGGCAGAGGCTGTAGGAACCTCGCTTATATATATATATATATATATATATATATATATATATATATATATATATATATATATATAAAAATCAGATGCATAAAGAAAAATATATTAACAATTTCAAATTCCACTATAGAGAACATTCTAGAGGGAAGATTTAGTGCAAAAAAGAAAGAGTAACGAAATCATTAAAGCAATTTTCAGACCTTTTGAACCTGTTTATAAATAACAATAAAGAACAATTTCGATAGACCTTTGGTTATTGCATACAAAGTAATGCAAACAAAAGCATAAGAACAAACTTTGACAAAATTATTGAAAATAAAAAGATTGGCTTAAATGCTAAGGTCAATTCTGGTCTCAAAGTCACAATGGACATATATATAGCATATTAAAACGTAAAAGATTGATATTGTGGTGAAAAAAAATTGTATAGAAGGTTTTTGAGACCTCGAAGCCCATTTTGACTTATTTTGCCTTTCAACAACCTGCTATACTATCTCACGAGATAATATAGCAGATTTTCGGGTAAAAATTGTGGATGGGCCCTATTAAACAAACTTGATTGAAGAAACCTTGCGAATTCTTCAACTGCTGTGTAATTTTTTAATGAATTGTATTTTTTGTCTGGTACATCAAGCGCGTCAAGTTTTTTATTAACTAAAATGTTCATCGTTTGGTTTTTTAATTTCTGGAGGTGAAAGCAGACCAGTTATTATTATTTTCAAGGGTTTCTTCAGTTTAAAGGGAAATGAATGTTGTGCGTGCGATAAAAGGCGAGATATTGTAAAATTTTCAGTGCCCTTTAATTTGAAGTTCCATTCTAATAAAAACGGAGTTCTGTCCTACGTTTTAATTTGAAGATTTTTCACGAGTACGATCACTTCACCTTTTTGCACTCTTTGTATATGCCATCTTTAAACTGGATTATAAAATCTTAATATTTACTTAAAATCTGTTCAATTTTAAGCTTTTATTAATGTTAATAAACAATGGCAGAATAATTTTAAGAAAAAAATGCTGTCTTGGTTTCTATTGGTCATAGAAGGTTCTTTTTTTGTAGATTGTGTTTTTTCACCATCTTTTGCGACACTTGTAAGCTTACTTACAAGCACATGACAAAGGACGGATTATATATATGAAAATATATACATATATAGGTAAGGATTTTTTTAAATCATTAACACACATTGAGAAATGGTATGCTACAAGTGGACTTCAGTTTAAGAAAGAGTTCTTCTCAAAGAAAAATCAAATCCGAACAAAAGAATTATATCTACACAAACAAAAACTAGATTATTTAGAAGAAATCGGATTCTTGGGTATGACGATTGATAAAAAATTAACTTGAAAGACACATATTTAACAGCTGAAAAAATCCTGTCTACCTGGTATAAATTTACTACGATCACTTGCCTTTAAAAACTGGGGTGCCGATTATTCAAGTTTAATACTTATTTACAAATCCATGATTCGATCAAAACTTGACTACGAAGC